GTGTTAGCACATGACAGGTTGGGAGAGTGGGCAAAGGTGCAGCATTTCTTTTTAGTGAGGTGCACATGGATTAGGAGTTGACTTCCGGTCTTCCTCAATTTAAAGTGATGCGAAGACATCCAGATAGAAGTGATCAGCAGGTACGTGTAAAAGAGGCCAAGTGAACAAAAGGAGATAGAGTTTGGAGAGGCAGTCACGCTGAGGTGAGGGCTGTGGAGATAGACCTCAGTCCACTTCCTGAGGATCTGTGTGGATGAAGAAATGTACTTGGGTGGGAGTCACACTGGGAAGGACATAGACAGGGGGATGGGAAGCATGCAAAAGGACAAGGAAAATGGGGTTCTAAGTGTCGTAGTCCTTTCGACTGTTCCTACAAAATACTATGAACTGGGTGATTTATAACCAACTGAAATTTATTTCTCACTGTTCTGGTGGCTGGAAAGTCCAAGACCAAGGCACCAGCACGATCTACTTCTGGACAGAACCCATTTTCAGGTTGCAGACTGCTGATTTCTTGCTTTGTGCTCACCTGAGAGAAGAAGAAACAGACTTCTTTGGACCTCTTCTGTATAAACACTGATCCTGTTCATGAGGTCTCTCCCCTCACAACCTAATCCCCTCTCAAGGTCCCCACTTAATACCATCATCTTGGGAGTTCAGATTTCAACATAGGCATTTTGGAAGGCATAGTTGGAAGGCATTCAGACCATAGTTGTTCTGGCTTGTATTTGAATGTACCCCTCAAGCCTCAAGCACTCATAGGTGGGGCTTCTGTGAGGTGGCTGGATATAGGGTGTGTGAATGTGGATTCAGGGTATGTGATAACTAAAGTAGCCCACTGATGGTGGCTGTGTTAGCACGTGACAGGTTGGGAGAGTGGGCAAAGGTGCAGCATTTTTAACCTATAAGGTGCAATAAAGTGCACCATATTTAACATAGTTGTGGGTGTGGATAATGGGAAGGCATACCCTGGATGTAGGTGGCACCAGCCAATGAGCTTGTGGTCTGAATGAAGTAAAAGGGAAAGGAAGCCTTGCTGCCAGCTGCTTCCTGCCTGCTATATCAGGGGCCGTTTCTCCTCTGTCATGCCCCTCTACCATGCCACTTGCCTTTGAGCCAGCTCATTGTAGACTGGAACCTCTATAAAACCAAGCTATAATAAATCTTTCCTTCTTTAACTTTGGGTATTGAGCATTTTGTCCCAGCAACAAGGAAGTAACTAAGATAATTGCACTAAGGAAAGTATCAGTTTTTAAAAAATGGAGAGCAGGGAGATGCTCTGCTCTTTAAACAGTACTTCCAAAAGACTATTAAATAACAAAGGCAACATGCTGATGGTACATTAAGTGTTTATAAAATTGTATATTTATATATATGCATTTCTTTTTTTATTTTAAAAATAAAAGGAGGAAAACATTAACAGACAGACAACCTTTTACAAAATACCAAAAGAACAGTAGAGACAATACAGAGTTACAAAGTGGTAGGAAATTAACAGTGCTTATTGTATTACATATTGATATCTTCAAAGTGGTTTCTCATGAAAACAGAGACATGCAATATTGATCAATCAAGGACTCATTGACAGTTTCTTTCAGCAAAGAAATAGAAGACAGTAGAACAACTATGTTAACTATCCTGTATATACACACATACAAAATTTCTCCTTTCCCTTCTCTTTTCCCACATCCCAGTTCCCCTTTACCCTTGAGTGTTTTCCTATCATTTCACAATGTCTATCTATATATATGCATTTCAACTGTATACCTATAGATAGAGTGATGGAAAAATTATAAAGACTTTATGATGTTTATTTCTAGGTGATAGAGTTTTACAGGTCTTAACTAAAAGTAGTATTAGTCAATCTTAAGAAAATTTTAAAAATTTCAGGTTCACTATAATAAGTGCATTTTATTCCTATCAGAAAAACCATTTTCTTGATACTAGACTGGGAAAAGAAATTCTTAGGGGCTGCATCATCTCATTTAGTGTACTCGTACATAGCCAATAGGCAAGCAGCATGGCCCCCTGTTCAGTGAGGGAAGAGGAAGCTGAAGCTGAGAGATTAAGAAACTTGTCTCAGTAATATAGTTGTAAATGCTACCGTGATTCTAAGCTGATGGTCCTGAAAACCCAAACTGCATCTACATAGTCAGTCAAAACGTTACTTTAATGAAGCAACAGATAAGTCTATAGGTATGTTTGTGTTGTGCATACTGCACATTGACATGTGGGAAGAGGGAATTTTCAGTGGTCTTTAAGACCATGGCATAGAAGTTATAACAGGTGATTTCCTCTTGATGAAAGGGGGCTGGTGACAGGAGATGGAATTTGGTACAGAGCATTGATAAGAGGTTGGATATTTGCAAGTCAAGATGGCCCCGGTTTTGCTGAGAGTACAAACACCTTGTCAATGGGATAGCATAGTAAGGGTTAATATCTTGCTTATGCAACCTGGGTTGGCCTTCGGCTTTATTATCACCACTCAAAAAAGTATCATCTGAAACATGCTCTGACCCTCATGAAGCAGGGAAAGGGGAAGGTTGGAGTTGAATGAAATCATTTACATGCTTCTCCCTGGAAGTGACAGGAATTTTATTGGCGAAAGCTACGTCCAACCTAAACGGAGAGGGGAAGTGTGGTCCTACCACATGAACATAAAGACGAGGAATGAAACATTGTGAACCACCCTAAAAACCACCATGCTAAGGAAAATATTCCTTCATCTTTTTTTTTTTTTGTGCTATAGATATAACCTAGGGTCTTACCTGTGCTAGATGTAACCTAGGGCCTTGCACATACTAGGTAACTGCTCTACCCTGGAGCTATACCCCCTTTCCTTCTTGTTTTTAATGCTCCTGTTGCTTCAGTAAAGAAAACAGTTTGTAGAATTTGCAAACATTAAACATGGGGGGAGAAATGGACATTGTCTAAGACACTGAAACTCCGAGAGCTGTCAGTGTTCCCATGTAGTCCAGAGTATTCAATACTTCCTGTCCTGGGACACAGAGATTGTAAAGAGTTGGAAGCTTTGGTGCACAACTCTCTGTCAAAATTCTGGTTCCATGGTGTTGATAATACCAGTATCACCTGATATGGAGCCAGTGGCATTTCCATCAGGTAAAACATCTCCTAGATGTGCAGGTTTCCTAGTGGGGTCATTGCTAGAACAGCTGTAAAGTTGTGACTGTAAGTCTAAAATGTAGTTCTTTAAAGTTGGCTTCATGTAAAACTAGGTGGTGTTTACACCAAGTAGTCTGGTGGCAAGTGAATTAAGACTTTAAAGCCAGTTGGGTAGCTCAGTGTCTTTGAACCACAGAGAGTTCACCTTCAGCTAATGAGCGAAAACTCCACTGAGAATCTCTGAAACCGCCTTCTTTTCTGAAATCTATGGTGTGTTTGACATAACAAGAAATTTGTGACAGGAAATGGGGTCAAGAGGGTACAGACCATCCTGTGTGGAGGGTCAGGCAGATTGACTGAGTTGGCCTGTAGAATGACCACAATACCATATGAACACTTTTGTTGAGTTATAGAAAATAGGGAAAGAAAGAAAAGTCAAAATTCTGACGTAGCTTCATAACGTATTGCTTTGCGCTTCTAGGCTTATTTTTAATGTTCTATGAAACTATATAAGAAACTTAGAAAGTTTGATTGCTTTTTAAATTTTCTGTATTTATAAAATTAAAGACTAGTTCTATTCTCCTGTTAAACAGGTGTGGTTCTGTGACTTTCATAGGTTTATCCTCAATATTGCTTGTTTCTTAAACTGCTTTTAGTTTCAGCTTTGATTTAAATTTCACGGTCATTAAATTTCTTCTTTTTATCAGCACAAGATGGAGGGTTTTCTGAATCTTAAAAGCATGTAATTTACCTTGGATGTGAACTATAATGCTTATTCTGAATCAATTCCATGTAAAACTGCAGCAGTGGCGCAGAAAGTTCTTATGAATTGGAACTTAACATGTCATTGACACATTTTGAAAGGCGTTCTGTTGACTTTAGTGATGGATGAGCCTGTACTGCCAAGTTCAGCTAGAAGGGGTGGCTTAGAAATCCAAACATCAGCTCTGGAGTCTAGAAACTGCCTGGAACCATGAGTTTTGAATCATCAGGGTGGATGTAGCCTGTGCAGGGGATGGGATTTTACCAGTTTTCTCCATGGAAGTCTATGAACAAAACCATAAACACCAACCCTTTTTGTTGAGTGTTGGCTTTTAAAAGACCCTAGTGGTTTGGGGAGGCTAAGGCCTTGCCTGGGGGCTCCCTGGTTCAATTTTTTGGGAACTGGATAAAAACCCTGTATACTTGATAGTCTGGCTTTATTTCTATGGTGTATTAACACTCTATAAAAGTTACATGTCATTTATTTCAAGTTTAGAACCCTCTCAGACTTCAGGGGCAAACCAAACGTGAACCTTTTGTGGCTGGAATTCTGTTTACCTTTGGCCAAATCTGGCTTCCTGAATGTGAGTCATGGAGATGAGGTGCGAGGGGTGTCTGAACGCCCCGTGGACATCAAATAGCTTTGGCCAATCCTGGCTTTGATTGGTTAAAACGTGAGTGAATCTGAAACACATTGATTAACTTACTGTCAAAGTACTCCGGGGCCTACACACAAAAGTATAGCATGCCAGGAAAAATGCATTTGGAGTGTTACCTTTCCCTAACTGTGAGGAAGCATCAGGGATTTTCTCTGCCAAACACAGGTTGAAATTGGGTCAACTCACTCAACCTCTGCTTCTAGTAAATACATTAAGTGGTTTCTATAAAGGTTATGGGGTAATCCAATTGAATGTGGATCTTGGAAAATTTTTGACATTTCTTGTGTTTGAAACACTTATCTTTAATCAGTGACAAAGAAGGAACTGGGCTCAAAGAACAGTGCCCTGTTCAAGAATACCTATGGTTCTTTGTGTTTGTCAGAACAGAGACTAGCAAAGAATGCCTTGTGCTTGAATAAAGGTGAAATCACACACCCAGCTCCATGTGCTTTTCAGATAGAGGAACTGATGAATGCCTTGGAGAAGACCAGACAGGAGCTAGATGCCACCAAAGCGCGCCTCGCCTCCACACAGCAGTCCCTGGCTGAGAAGGAAGCACACTTGGCCAACCTTCGGATAGAAAGAAGGAAGCAGCTGGAGGAGATCCTGGAGATGAAGTGAGTACCCATTTTTGCTTTCCTGACCTCTCTTTCAGGGTAGGAAAGTGGCAGGGGGGTAAATAAAGAACTCAGAGAAAAAATAATTAGGCTGACACCTTGTCTAGTCATTTCTGAGACCATGTGTCTTAGTCATTAAATTATAACTTTGGTGTCTCAGTTTGCACATTCTTCACATCTGTCCAGCGCCAGCTTTTCTGTGTCTGGATTTTGTGGACAGTCCTGGCATTCACAGATGTGCCGTAAAGGGCTTGAGCCAGCCAAGAGACAAAGGCCTTGTTAAGCACAATGGTAATTCGAGTACCGTTCAGCGTGAAGTGGAAACTTTTCTGAGGCAGTATTTCCTAATAGTGACTGTAACTTTGCTAATTATACACTTTTCACTGCGTACAACGCCTGCGTTGTGTTGGCTTTCCTAGTCTCAAGGTTGGCACCTCCTTGTTTAGAAAGCAGCCCTCCGATTTCCTAGGTTGATAAAAGTAAGTTTGAGATCCCCACCCACTTCCACGCCCACACCCACACACCATGGTGGAGGGAAGACTGGGGAAACCCAAGGAGATTAAATTGAAACCAGTTGCTCTCATTTGCTTAATCCACAGAGTGGAATTGGGTGTCTGGAAATGGTGCTTCTACCGACATCTACCTCTTGTGTCACTCTCACAGTGAAATAGTGTCCTCATGGAAGAACATAGGAAAGAGTATTACTGAAAGGTTTTAGTGATAATCAGTTGAGATACGTGTTTCTAAAGAGTTAGTCAAGATACAGTTGTTTTAAAATGAAATAATCACTAAGATGTCATTTAAATCCAACTTGCTTCCGCAATAGGGGAAGCATACCTAATTATTGCATCTTAAGCCTGTAATATGGACTTTGAAATTGGTGGATAGGTATGGAAGAGTGACCCTATAGTGACCCAGCAAGTCCTACACATGGTTAACATTAAACTAAGAAAGCTTAGATCATGGAAAATATGGAATGAAATATTTTGAAGGGCTTAATGATAAGGACAAAATTCTTATGCCTCATCAACTACCTCAGTTTCTCTAAGGCTGAAGAATAAGTGGATTTTAATGGGCTGGGGATTTAGCTCAGCGGCACAGCGCCTGCCTGGCAAGCACAAGGTCGTGAGTTCAGTTCCTGGTACCAGAAACCAACCCCCAAATATATATATAAACTAGCATTTTTCCTAATAAAAGATGACATAATAAAAACAGATATTATTATACTCAGTTTAGAGGTGAGGGAACTGAGACTCAGGAATTCAAATAATTTGTTTAAGCTACCTGGCCAGGATTAAAACCAAATTCTTCTACCTCTGTCTCCCTTTCTACTACTTCATTTTTCTGATGGGATGTTTGTGAATTTCATCAGATCTGAAACTTTTATCTGTCTGTCACAGCAAAAATTGTACACCCTCTAGCTGTGTCGGGCATGCAGCAGGTGCTCAGTAACTGTGGAAGGAATGAGTAGACAGAACTCTGGAGATTTAATTTTATGTGGCTATTGAGAAGAAAAATGTTTCCAGCTTCTGGGGCATTACAATCTTGATCAGTAATTTACTAACAGTATTCAATAACCATATTCATAATTGACAATGAATGTACAGTGATTCCATCAGTGTTACTTTTTCATTCACATGTATGTTGAATGTATCCTAGTTGTTCTCATTGTTTTCCAGCTGTTCCTAGGTTACCTCTGAAACTCCTGAAGTGATGTATTATACCCTTATAGAGCAATTTCCATTACTTCCTATTTATCAAAAGAGCATGTTCTTCCAAAGTTTTAAGATAACAAGTGAATGGTGACGTATGCGGGTTTGGGAGTTGTCAGACTTGGCAATTGCATGACTTCTGGGAAATGCCCTTTATGTCACTGACCCTCCAGTTTCCTCTCATAACGACTTGCATGGGGTGGTTGTGGGTAGAGGTGTTCACAGAGATCTTGGCACACAGAAAATGATACATGTGTATAAATGGCTCTATCAGCCAATAAAAATATGTCATTTGTTCACTATACTTTGTGAAGAGCGCCATTTATCTAAGATTTTGATTTATTTTTTTCTAAAACACATAAACCTATTCCATGTGTATGTTTTCGTACTTAATTTCATGATTTCAGATAACACCTAACTAAGACCTCTTTTGGTGAATTGCCACAGTATTGCTGAAGTGCTTAATCTGCTGTCACTGCAAAATAAATACAAAATTCCTCTGTTAATAATTTTGGTAAAAGTAACAAAGCCTAGCTTCATTAAGCCCAGTTTGAGCCTATTCATTATTTAACTGGTGCAGAAGCCCAACATATGGACTCCTTGCTTAGACCTATGGAGGACACAGGTACAGGGTAAGTGTGCTGCCTGAGGTACCCCACTAGGTTCATCAACCTTTTAGCCTATTCAAGTCAGCCAACTGGTTATACTGATCATGATTTTTGAGATGAATGGGTGTATTGGTTCCTCGACATGCACTGACTCATAGTGTTAGTGGGAACAACCAGATGTGTATTATAATTTTCAATAGTTATTTTCACTCTCTACCAAGACTTCTTTTGTCATTCATCTGGCACCCATCGTGTAAGTGTATCTTCAGTGAGGTCTACCAGTTTCCAAACCCTGGTAGGAAAAGAGAGGCTCACAGGGTAAGGCCATGTCAAGAGAAAGGCAACATAATCTCTAAGAGGAGGAAATATGAAGAAGCAATATGAAAATAAACCACTCATGACGGTGACATGTAAAAATGGACGCTTAGGGCATTTGGGTGCCTGCTTTTACAAATGCTTCTTTTTCTTCAAAAAAATAGATTGTTCTTTCATATTTCCTGAGTCCCAGTCCTTTTGCTTTTTGGATATGAATAGCTTCCATGTCACAGATATAGAACTGTATTATAGTATTTTTAATTCCTCAGTATACTGTCATATAAGTTTCCTGATTATCAAATATCTTACTTCCAATGTTTTTTTAATGCAGAGAATGTTTTCATAAACATTTTCCTGTTTAATTTTTTTATTAATTTAGTTTTAAATAATCATAGACTGCAAGAAACGGTCCAGAGAATGTTCTTGTAATCTTCACCCATTTTGGCATTGTTAAACTCTTATGTAATTATGGTATGATGTTGTGCTAGGAAAGGGATACTGGTGCAGTCTGTCACCCTTGCCCAGGTTTCTCTGGGGTGTGTGCGTGTGTGTGTGTGTGTGTGTGTGTGTGTCTTGCAGTCTTATCGCAACTATTTAGATTTGCACAGCTGCTACTGCAGTCAGGTATAGACTTGTTCCATCATCACCAGGACCTCTCCGGTCCAGCCTTCTGATAGCTACAAGTGCTCCTGGCTGTTTCAGTTTCACCCTTGTTTTGTGTTACATCATCTTGGGGCATGGGCCATGTGTCCACATGTGCTAGATTTGCCTTTGCCATTCTTCGGTAGACAGAGGACTGCTTATTTTAAGTTTAGGTTGAATGTAGAGTGAGAAAATACTGTAAGATTCTTCTAATTTAATCCTGCATGAGATTTTATTTTACTTGCAGTATTGTTTCCCTTTAGATTAAATTCTGAGAGCCTGTCACATGGTAAGGATCCAGTAAGCATTTAAGGAATAAAAAGATGAATTAGTTAAAACTTCATAACTAATCTCTGAATACTGCATGACAGGCACTGTTCCAGCAGAAAAGATCCTTGACCTTGTCCAAGTTTGAATTTTTAGTAAAATGAATGAAGGAAATGAATGAACAAATAGATGAAAGTATAGCTTATATAACTGGAGAGGTTTGAAATCCCGTTTAGAAAACGATTTCTAAAGTTAAGCACCTTCTTGGTTGTTTGGGGTAAAGACGGATATGGGCAGAAGTACTTCCCCATTGTCTGGGAACCCTTTTATGAACTGAGGCCAGGTTCATTCCAAAGGGGAGACTTTGAATTTATTTCACATTGGACTTTTTTTCTCCAACATTTCCTTCTCCAGTGTTCTTTTCATTTATTGGTATTCCAACTAGTCGTTATTATTTCTACACTGAAAGGAACAATTCACAAGCATATATTTTCACAGATATAGAATATATGCCTTTCTTTGTGTATACAATTATTTCTTTATTTAAAAAACAACTCACGATGAATGGCTTATCTTTGTTAAGTTTGTCTGTATTTAAAAGGAATTTTATTAAAAATAGGAAGAACATAATTGTATATGTTTAGTTTTATTAATACTGGTTAATAAGCTTACATTCCAGTAACCAAAGCTGTGTTATTTAATTTGCGGTAGGAGAATTTGATACCTGTGGCTAAAGGGGTTGAGGGCCGTGAGATACAGTACTTAAAATCTATCTGTGTGCACTTTCTGGGATAGCTTAAACTACCGTAGTGATTTGACGGCTGACAGGCAACCCAACTGATATTTTTCACTTAGTATACAATGTTGAGTATAATAAGGATTTTAATAACTACCTAATAGCTACATAATTTGATATATGTCTTAGACTTTTTGTGGTGATTTCCTGTGCTTATGTTATATAAAAATTTTAAGCAGACCTCTATATTTTTAACTCATTTGATGATGTCATGCAATCCATCTTAATTTACTGGGTATTATTGGATTTTAGACATCTTCTCCAGATAGCTTCTCAAGCCTTTGTATATACTGGGTTATTTTAGGACATTTACAGTGAGGCAAGGCAGCGGCCCATTCTAGGGCATTATCCTGTTGGGCCCTTTGATCTGGGATCCTTTCTGAGAGCGCCACTCGTTAGGTAAGTACTCTTCAAAGGAGAGGCACCGTGCAGAAAACGATAAAATCAATTTGTTCTTTACTTCATGCCAACATGAGAAAAGACAAATCACATTTCTTTAGGGAGGAATCCGAAGTGCCTGGCAATTTGCACAGGATAAATGGAGCCTGAGGAGAGTTGTAGAGGCAACTATTACTTAAATTGTTAAATTCAGTTATAGGAGCAAAGAAAATTGTACTGTTTCACAGAGATGTTATGGGAATTGAATGAGATTATGCATCT